ACTTTTGGGTATTAGAAAAATACAACAAAAACGAAATTGTCTCTTCATATATACAGTAAAATATTATACTCAAATTGTCTTTTATTTTCTGGAGTACACTTGAGAGTTCTGAAAACCTTTTATGATTGCTGCATAATTGGTTTATTTGATCGTTGTATCCTGGAGGTGATTGTCCACGGAGGTCGCAGCAGTTATCGACGGGCAATTTCGCTTTAAGACATCGTGCTGTCACGAGACTCGATCTATTGATAAGTTTTTTCTGCACTTTACCATTATTTTATCCAACACTTTGTCCATACGAAGAGTCACTAAGGTAAGTCCTATTAGCTTAGAACTCCATATATTCTCCTACATTTTTCAAGAGTCCGACAATACTGGAACGTTTAAACAAGATATTTACATAGGATAATCACGATACCATCTTTTATTACATCACATTGAAAAAAAAAAGTGCAAGGAATTTCATGAACAAAGAACAAATGCTAATTAGACAAATCACAAACAAAGAAAATGCAAGGAATTTCTAGTTGGACGAGCGAAACAAGGTTGCTTGTTGTTGGGCACTAAAATTTGAGCCCAATATTTTGACAACTTGATCGTTTAATTAATTTTTTGACGCGAACACAACAAGTTGTCTAAAGAATGTGGGACGTGAGGAGCAATATATATATGATGTCGTTCAGAAACAAGACAAGTAAAAAAGCGTGAATTCTTGCCATAACTTGAAAACTAATTGAGCTGTAGGCATCAAGGTAAGGGATCGATATTATATACTATACTGCTGCAGAAGCGGAATCGAAAGGGTTGGTCGAAAGGCAAGGATAGCATGATTGACTAGTTGCGGGTCCTTTGGATCATAGTGTTAGCCCAAGAGTGACTAACCAAGAGGGGGTGAATTGGTTTTTAAAACTTTTTCGAAGAATTAATCTAAATTCTAGCAAGTAAAGAATAATTCAAATAATAAGCACAAGTATAAAAGCGATAAGTAAAAGGGAAAGAGGATGCAAACGACATAATTATAGAGGTTCGATCCAATGCAATGATCTACGTCTCCCATTACCAATCTCTCCGGCATGAGCAAGGCTTTTTCACTATGTTAATTGACTTATGGCGCAATCCAATCCTTTACAACGCTTTCGATGACTTACAAACAAGGAGTAGCGATCCTTATACAATGTTGATCTTTACGGAACCTCAACATGACCCATACTATTGAGCTTTACGGGACCTCAATATGACCCACACGGTAACTTACAACAACGAGCACCAATCCTTATACAATGTTGATCTTTAAGGGACTTCAACACGACCCACACTTTATCAAAGTAATTTTACAATAGAATTCCTCTCTTGATAAATAATATAAATAAGTTAAGTGCTAAGACAGGAATAGGCTAACACTTTAATGAATAGCAATAAATGAAAGCTCAAGTGTTAGTTTTGAAAACTTTGATGAATTGATGATTTCAAAGTTTAATTCAATCAATCAAAGATTTAGAGAAGTGGAAGAATTGATGCAATGTAAGTTCAACACTTTTCTTCAAAATATATCTCTCTTATATGAATGATAGAAATAAGTAAAGTACAAAGAGATAGATAAATTTTTATGATGAAGATGATGAAAAAAGTTTGAATCAATTAAAGTTTTCAATACAAAAAAATAAATTAAATGAGNAGAGTTTAAATCAATCAAAGTTTTGATATGAAGAAATCAATGATGTAAATGCAAAGTGAAAGCTCAAGTAATTCTAGGAAAATATCTCACTTCTGATGCTCCTCAAAGTCTTCTTTGAATGGAAGAATGAAGTGGTATTTATAGGAACAAAACTGTCAAAAACTTTGTCCAACCGGACGACCTGTACCGGATGTCCGGTATGTACCGGATGGCCAACTAACCGTTTTGAGTCAGAAATCATAACGGTACAAAATTCGACTATTGGGCAAAAATCTGCCCTACCGGACGTCCGTTATGACAGAAAATGCCTCGACGTCCTCCTTTTATTATTTTAACAAATGTAATTTCATGAAGGACGTTTTTAAAAGATTTTTCAAGGTATTTGACATGTTTCAAATTTACATTTATGATTTTTACCTTTGAAAAATAAAAACGTTTTGTGTCGTGATTTTTCGTGCATAAAATCAATATCGAGCTTTTCACGATTCATTGCTAATGGTTAAAGCGTTTTACCTTTACATATGAATCAGAAACATCTAAGTCTAATGTCTTTGATGTTTGACCGTTGAATTGCTTGTCTTGATTGATTTTGCGTGAATGCTCGGCTTCCATCTCGATTTTCATTGAGGATTAACTGCGAGTCTTTTGATAGCGATCTCTATGTCTTCAATTGATCAACTTAGCTACAACGACTCGAATACAATAGTTAGAGATAAAAACTGTTTGTTATAATCAAAATATGAAGTCAACCATAGGTCAAGACATAGACCACAGGTACTTGGGAAGGGACAGCTGAACATCATTTGGATAGGCTAAGGCTATATGGGAAAAAATCTGTCCTACCGGATGTCCGGTATGGCAGAAACTGCCCCGACGCCCTCCGTTTATTATTTTAACAAATGTAATTTCTTGAATGACGTTTTTAAAAGATTTTTCAAGGTATTTGACATGTTTCAAATTTACATTTATGATTTTTACCTTTGAAAAATAAAAACTTTTTGTGTCGTGATTTTTCGTGCATAAAATCAATATCGAGCTTTTCACGATTCATTGCTAATGATTAAAGCGTTTTACCTTTACATATGAATCAAAAACATCTAAGTCTAATGTCTTCGATGTTTGAGACAACTTAACGAGCATAACTAACTAAAACGCACTTACGAGCCGAAGGTAGAGATAAAAGTAACTTGTAATTAACGCTCAGAAAACTATCGCTAGAGATACAGAAATTAACTAGTTGAATCGATGTTGCTGAGCTTATGTTATCAATCTCTATTTTTGTTAAAAAAACAATATTAATTCTGTACTTCAGTTGGTAACCAGTTGTAAAGGTGGAAAAAATAAATGACAAACAAAGATGATTGGGAATAAATTGATAAGCGAGAACATGTTAGATGTTACATATAGTTTATATATTCCTCCTATCTTTCATACATGTATTCCCCCTTTCTCATATAGGTCAAGCATGCATATCATCTTGTATTTTTCATTGGATGATAAAATCACTTTAATTATCAATTGTAGCGTAAACAAGATTAACTTGTTTGTTATAATCAAAACCTTAAACGTGTAATCAACTATATGTCAACAATTTCCCCCTTTTTGATTATGACAAACAAGATGATTTGCAAATTGAGATTGAACTATTGATATCAAATTGATAAAGGAATATACATTCCAAATTTATCATGTAATTCATATTCTCCCTAACTTTTACAAATCAATAACCATATAAATGATTTTCAAATCAAAGCATGCAAAATCATCTCACTTCGTTTCCCCCTTTTGACATAAGCAAAAAGGTAGCTTTTTAAGATCAAAACGTGACCGTAGGAAACAATAAAAGATTATCCCATTCCAATGCTTTTCAAATCCATCTTACTCAATTTTTCCCTTTGAATAAAAAAAAAGGTGCAGAACATATTAGAGGAATAGTTTAGCATATAAGATCAAAACTTTAAATCAACCATTCAATATATTCCCCTTCAATTGAACTCAAGATGCCAAATATATGCAAATTTAACTAAGAGGGCATGAGTGATAAAATGTCAAAAGTAAAATTATTTCGGTAAAATTTTATATAGATTTCAACCAAATATGCATATGGAATCATACGAGAACGTTTTGTATGAAATCAATTTAGCCACATACTTCAAATTTATCGATAATTTCCAAACCTCTTTGAATCTATCAAGTGTTAGAAATTTAGATAGAATATTGATCAATTTATTCTTCAAATTTGAATACAATAGAATATCATAGATGTAAAATTTTAGTGTCAATACGATATCTCAAATTCCTTTTATGGCATTAAAATGTGATTCGTGAGTATTGGAATAAAATGTAGTACATAATCACACACTAAATATAATATCAAGTTTACTTGCGATTAAGTAAAATAGAGAACCGATCATACCTCGATATTTTGTTATGTCTATGGAAGTACCTTGGTCATTGGAGGATTCTTCCTTGTTTTGATTAAAAAAAAATTATCATTAATAAAATAGAGATCCGATCATACCGT